AGGCAGTGGTGATAATGGTGAAACTGGTGGTGATGGTGGCGGAACTAGTGGTGATGGTGATAAGAGTAAAAATTTATTTAATTAGATAAATTACAAAAGAGTAAAAATTTTTGTAATTAAATAAATAATAAAAGAGTAAAAATTTATGTAATTAGATAAATAATAAAAAAATAAATTTAATACGGGATAATTGGATTAGGTCATTATTAAGGTTTTAAAAAATTGACTACTTTTTAAATTGTACTAATAGTACCAAATATTATTTAATAAACAAAAAAATTTAATATTGTATTTATTAATTTAATGTATTTGGAAATTAAACATATAAGTATTAAATTTTAATCTATATATTTCATATATAGATTAAAAAAAATAAATGAGAGGTTGGATAAATTTAGAGGGTATTTTTGATATTTTGAGAATTATGATTGATGACATCAGCTTTGCCTGCTAACAAGTTTAACGTCTGTTAGTTGGAGGGGGTGTGATTGTTACAAGTTTTAAATGTCAAGGGAATTCGATGTTATTTGTAAAATGTGAGAGGGTGTCTATATAATAAAACCAAATGTCAAGGAATTTTAATGTAATTGGGTTAATTACAAATTGGACCCCAAAAGATCATTCGAATCTCAATTTGTACTCCCAAAGATTAAAAATTTTAATTTGCACCCTCACAAATAGAAATTTATATCAATGTGCACCACCCAAGATCAAAAATCTCAATTTGCACCCTCAAAGATAGAAATTTATATCAATGTGCATCTAAAATTAACCGTCGTCAGTTTGCAGACTAAAACTAAATTGATAAATTATACTTAGATCCCCTCATACTTGTCACTTAATTACATGGATCCTTCACAAAATAAAAGGTAATATAAAATTATAATTTTTTATTAAGATAAAATCATATTTTTTAACGGCTATAAAATCCTAATAAAAATACTCTCAATTTAAAATGTTCCCCTAATTGGGCATTCAAATAATTATGTTTAAGTGATATATTGCATTGCAAATAAAAAAACATTATGTAAATATCTACATTCTAGTGAACTTTCAAATGGTAAGCTTGATTTTGAACTTTAGAGTATATCAAACCCACAAAATAAAGGGTAATATGAAATTATAATTTTTTATTAGGATAAAATTATATTTTTTAACGGTTTTATTAACAGATATTAATGAAAAGGGGTTACGTGTTACACATGCACAAACGTCATGAGATGTAATATTAATATTCTAAATGTGAAGGGGTCCAAATGATTAAGTGACAAGCATGAGAGGATTTAGATATAATTTATCAATTTAATTTTAGGCAGTAAATTGATGGCAGTTAGTTTTAGGTACACATTGATACAAATTTCTATCTTTGTGGGTACAAATTTAGATTTTTGATCTTTAGGAATATACATTGATATAAATTTCTATTTTTGAGGATGTAAATTAAAATTTTTGATCTTTAAGAGTGTAAATTGAGATTTAAACGATCTTTTAGGATACAATTTATAATTAACCCAATGTAATTTACCCTTTTTAAATTTATGGTTCACCCCATTCTCATGCTATATCACAGGGCTACCCAGACGGGTTAAAAACTACTGCATTTCACATCTTAGAGCTTCATATTTATTTTAAGAGTTGGAGCTTCAAATTTATTTTAAGAGTGTCGATTTTACCCATTTGTACGAACCCAGCAAGACACCCTATTTAATAAATGAGACGAGTTCATGTAAAACATGAATAATCTATTTTGTAAGATAAAATAGAATTTTCACTTTTTACATTTCTATCTAATATTCTATGGCTTCTTTTAATTTGACTAATACTTGTGATTAGCAAATAATTGCAAATATATATTCGCGATCCAAATTTAAGTGACAAAAAAAAAGTTACTCTTTACCCAAAGACCGAATTTAATATTTTAGAATAAAAAAAGATTAATAACATTTTTGACTCCAATAGTATGTATTTTTTGTTAGTTTAGTTTCCACTCTATTAATTTTGTCAATTTGGTCCTTACAATATTCCATTCGTGTTATTTTGTTTTCTACATAGACAGACCGTTAAGTATTTTATGGAATGATCACGTGTTGAGCATGTGGTACTGTATAAAAAAATGACACGTGGTCAGTCAGTCAAAAAACTTGACGAATTGTCTGATTAGAGATTAAAGTGATACAAATTGAATACTTTAGAAAATAAATTAATAAAATTGATATAATAAGAATTAAACTAATAAAAAATACATATTTTATAGACAAAAAATACTCTTAAATGAAAATTCACTGAAATTCACTCTTTGTGAAATCAGAAGTAGTGTGGTTTCTATGGTAAAAAAACCTATTTTCTAGTATTACTAATTGAAGAATATAACTTCTGAATCTCTTCAGCTCGGATGCCTTCTCGCTCTCGGAACTCACAATCACTGTGCCTGCGGCGGAGTCCTCCTTTATACAGAGGCTGAGCAGTGACAGTGTAGTGCAGTGAGTGTTTGTGGTTTGTAACTGGAAAACAATGAACTCCTTAACCCATTTTCTGGTATTAATTCCCAATTCTCAAGGAAGTCTCTGAATCTCTTACAGTTTGAGATGACTTCTCAGCACTTAAAAAAAGGTTATTCACCATTTTCTGTTGCATGCATATCTGGCGTTCTTTTGTACACTGAGCAGTGTGCCCATTCATAAAGAATCTCTCTGGTGGATCCTTTCCCATGGTTGCATGTAGTGGGATTTAACAGGTCTTTTAATCAAACTGAATTACTCGAGTTTAGTTTGAGTTCGTCTCGTTTAAATTTAATTTATTTTTTAAATAAGTTTAAATTTGAACAAATTTTTAGTCTCGTTTAAAAAATAAGTCTTACAAACTTGGCTTAAACTCGACAAACTTGATTCGTTTATGTGCAAATACTCGGGTTTGACTCGAACTCGACTTATTTTTGACTCGTTCAGGTTCGACTCGTTTCTTAAACGAACAAACGATTTTTTAGACTCGATTAAGAAACAAACTTTTCAAACTCGATTCGGAATCGTTCGGTTAACATTCCTAAATTTGACTATGGTACTTTCAAAAAAAAAAAAAAATGTACCTAGGAATGGAGCCAAGTTTATCGATTAGAGAGGACAAAATATTACTATAAAAATTATTAATTGATAATAAAAAATTTTTAGTTCCAATAAGGTATATTTAGATTTATGATTAAATTGCTTAAAACCAATTTCTTTTTGTCTAAACAAATAGATAAAAAAAAATAAAAATTAAAAGGCATTTTAATTTAAAAAATTTATGAAAGTGGAACACAATATTCTTTCAAATCTCATTCATTATGTCCATGAGATCATCACCCGTCTTGTTAAAATATTGAATATTTGAAATAGTACTAAAAAATATTTTTGAATTAGAGCACATACTACTATTTTAATGAAAAATAATTGAGAACACTTGTACAATTGTTTATAAAAAAAATAGGGGATAATTCTCAAACAGAGAAAATGTAATGATGCTAGTCACTATGATATTTTACATATGTCTTACCCAATTCAAGAATAAAAATTGGTTTTAGAAGGTTAACGGACTACTAACTAACTAAAAATAAAAAGTTTATTACCACTATACAAAGTTTTAAAAAATTAAAGGGCAAAAAATTTTAAAATAAACAAAATCAAGAACTTAAATTACTACCATACAAAATCACCACTCGGCCCTTAACTTCATTATTTGATTAAATTTTACAAATTTTTGGGATGCACTTACTTTTTAGATTCGCTTATTATTTTTTTTAGGTAGAATTTATTACTTTTTGAGTAAAACCCACTATTTTAAAGGTATTTTTTACTTTTCGGTATATTATTACAATTTTAGTTTGCGTACTTTATAGTGCTTTTGTATGTAATTTGACAAGGTTGTAACTACTAAGTTGTGATAAAAAAGTGAGAAAACATTCAATCATTTCTATTTCTTCATGCGATGTAGCATGCCTATTAGAAGATTACGTAACAATCCAAAATGTATAGTGAAGTAGGATTTAGGTGATTGAAAAGGATTTAAGATTGTGGTGGGTAAAATTTCTACTAATTAAATCATGTAAATGTTTGTGTCTAGTGTTTTTTTTTATTTTATTTCTTGTATATTTGTGTGCCACATTGCAAGTCCACAAATACAATTATATCAAAGCTTGGATGGAGATTTTCTTCAATATAATTCTTTTTTATATATTTTTCTCTTTAGTGGATCAACTATAACAAATTCAAATAAGATTTATTGTGTATAAATAGATCTCTTCATGATATATCTAACCAAAATAGAAAGAAAAAAAAAAGTGTTAGAAGAGATTTAAATCATCTCTAAACTCAAATGATAGGTGAAGTTTACCATTATTAAATATTAAATATTATTGGGTATATAAATTTAGTTGTTATTTAAAGCCAATGTGATGGTTTCATAAGAAACATATTATTATAAAATTACAAACAATGTTATTTAAATTTAATTTATTAATTTAATTTATTGATTTTATGGTTTTTAGATTGATTGTAAATCTTATCAAATATTAAAATTTGATGATAATCTAATAATTTCAATAAAATTATGTCATTAAATTAATAAATTAAATCAAATTTTTAGATTTAAATAATATTACTCTTACATAATTTAGATGTTTCTTGGTTTCACACATGATGTACCTTTTTGTTCTCATTTATTATTTATTTATGAGTAATGTTACATGAACTTAAAAAATTAATTTAAAAATTTGAGTTGATGATGTGACTGTTATATATATCATTGATTTAATTATGAGTCCCAATAAATATTGAAACTTATTATCTATTCAATGAAAATAATTCATCGAATCAAGTTTTTAAAAGTCAAATTTTTAAATTTATTTAGCATTTTTCATTATTTATATAATTGAGGCTTCTTGCTACTTCCTTGTCCAATGAGAAACCAATTCCGGATTCTGTTATCCAACCTACAGGCATCTCTCTCTCTCTCTCTCTCTCTCAAGCATGTCAATGCCCCTCATCACTGGGGGAGTAATAGGAGATGTCCTCGACTCTTTCACTCCAATCATCAGCATGTCCATCACTTACAACAAGAAGCAAATCTGCAATGGTCTTGAGCTCTATCCCTCTGCAGTGGCAACCAAGCCAAGGGTTGAGGTTCGAGGAGGTGATCTCAGAAGTTTCTTTACGCTGGTAGTTTTCACATCCCCCCACAACTTCATTTTTCTTTGTCTTTTCTCTTCTGTCATTAACTTTATATGTTCTTGTTAACCTCTCTATTCTTGGACTCAGGTCATGACAGATCCAGATGTTCCTGGCCCTAGTGATCCTTATCTAAAGGAGCATGTACACTGGTAAACCCTAAAACATCCACCTTGACAAAAATACAGGAATATGTTCACTTTGATAAATCAAGCTAAATTGGTAAAAAAAACTTAGTTTAGTCCCCAATCCTATTACAATCCACCTCGGTTTAATATGAGCATAACTAGGTGTATATATTAACTCCATGGCACCTTTCCATTACAAGCCGGTTTTTATGAGAAAAATCTACTCATGGTACATATCAAATCCCCAGTAAAACTAGCCAAATATTGTAGCCAATCAACGAAGGGAATGCAATAGGGCTACCTTAACCTCTTGCTAGATAGATATAGAAATGCAAAGAGGAAAATAAAATGAGACGACCAATTCTCACCAAAAAAATAGAAGGTATAACTAATAAAAAGTGTCAAACCCAAGAAACTGATCATGAGAGGGATGGGAACACCATATTGAAATAAGTCAATCCGAGAAACACAGATAAAAACTGATATCTTGAGCTGACTTTCTTTGCAGGATAGTCACAGACATTCCAGGCACAACAGATGCTACATTTGGTAAGTTCATCCGCGAGAGAGAGAGAGAGAGAGATGATGAACAAGATGGATTTTTATTACAAAAATTATAAGAGATTTTTGTATCATTTTCAAACATCAAGAAATTATCATATATTTCAAATACTACAGGGATTGTTTATGAAATTTATCCTTTCTGCTCTGATGTGTGTGTGTGTGTGTAAGAGAGAGAGAGAGAGAGAGAGAGAGAGAGAGTTGGTGACTGATTGTTTTTGTTGTGACTTTTAGGAAGGGAGGTGGAGAGCTATGAGATGCCAAGGCCCAAGATAGGTATCCACAGGTATGTGTTTGTTCTCTTCAAGCAGAAACGCAGACAGACAGTTCAACCACCTGCTTCAAAGGATCATTTCAACACTCGAAGATTCGCTGCTGAGAACGACCTTGGCCTCCCTGTTGCTGCTGTCTTCTTCAACGCACAGCGAGAAACTGCTGCAAGAAGACGCTAACTGCTAAACCCTATACCAAAATCTACATGTGAGAGCCGTTATTAGTTTGCTTCTATATAGTTGGGGTCTCTTAAATGGAACTTTAGTTTTAGGTCAGTGGTTGAACACATTCATAAAAGACAGCTCATTGAAACGAGGCTCCATTAGTCCGGGAATTATAAAAAGGAAATCTTATTTTTGTGTGTGCAAAAATTGTTTTTACGATTTTTACCACTGACGATCAAATTATAATAAAACAATTTTATCAATTACCACGAGCTAAAGGCCCCGTCCCGGAGAATTTATCTCCAACCATGATCATAGGTTGGAAAAACACAAGCTCCCTCCATCTATCTCCCCTTTTTTGTGCGTGTGGAAAAGAGGAAACTGTCCAAGTGTTTTTTTCCATTAAAAGCTAAAGAACTTGAGATTTCTAGTGTCTTTATTGAGTATAGTTTCTAAACAACGCTGACCCAATTCAGGGACTTAATTTAAATTTTTTTTGTGGATTGGTAATGAATATTAATATTAGATGAAGTTCATTTTCAACTCAATGACTGTATTGAATCAAGTTCTTAGATTAAGTTTTAAATTTTTATCCAAATAGCATTGTCCATAGTTTCTGTATCTCAGAATTTCTAGTGGGATCTTGTTACTCTCAACAAGAGCATTGGGTAATGGGAAGTGACACCAACCAATTGTGCATGTCTGAACTTGAGGTTATATACAAGTTGAATTTGAACTTGACCCAAAGTGTAAGCCTAAGTTCAAAATGATTTGTTTCGAACTTTGTATAAAAAACTCTAATTATGCCTTGAACAGTTGATGTGGGACGGCTTTTGCCGCCTCTCACAAGTGAGTTCCAAAACAGCAAGCTTGTACGAACCTTTTCTTTTCCTTCTGTCTAGGGTTTTGGCTCCATTGTTATATCGTTCCTTGCAACAGAAGGAGATGGCCAAGGGCATCAAGCAAAACCAATCAATGTCCTGGAATCCTGAATTTGGCCTAGGTCCGATACCATCAAATCGGTATGTCATGATCCTTTTTTTTTGCTCGAAACAAATTTTTTATTTACGGGAAAAAAAATTGAGATTATCGAACTTTTTTGCTGGTTAGACAACAACATTCCAACCATAAAGACAACCGATTCACCAAAATGAAGTCACAATTGAACATGTCCTATATGTTTTTTTTTCTCACACAATTATATCACATGATCTTGCAGCAAGAAAATGTAAAAACACATTAAATGTGGTGGATTTGGACTTGCAGCCTGTGAAATTTGGATTTCCTACTCGGTCGGACGGCTGGCTTGGACGAAGAAAAAATTCTCCCCACGACCGACTTCTAAAGTTCTAGGTTTGGATCTATTGTAGATGGATTGGAACTTTCATGAATGTTCCTGGTTTGGATCGATTGATTTCTCCAAATAGATCGATTGATTTCCCCAAAAATTTTATAGTTTGAGAGAGAGAGAAAAAAAATATCAGATATAATTTGTGAAAAAAGAATAGGTTTGTGGCATTTGGGTAAATGCCGTGTATTCTTGAAATTTACAAAATGTCAGTAATTAATATTTTTTTTTAACAAGAACGGCTTCAACTCTGCGTCTAGGGAATTGAACCCCGATCAATAATAAATGACATTTGTGACAAACGCCGCTAATTAGTAATTTTAATTTTTTTTTTGAATAAAAATAATTCGACAACGCATCTGGGGAATCAAACCCCGTTTATTAATAAATGACGTTTGTGACAAATGCCGATTATTAAATGTCAAAAAATACTATTTTTCTTGTAGTGATTTTGGTTAAACTCGACTAAAATTATGTGTAACATGCTGAATCGAAAAAGTCCATAAAGTACGAGACTATGTAAAATACTTTTTTTTTTATTTTTTCCTTTTTTTTGGGGTCTGCATCGAAAGTAAACGTTACGCCCTGCGAATAGCGCACCAAAATCAAGAGAAATAATCAACATGTGTGCAGGTTCTTGGATCAATATCATGCCTTCATTTCCTTGTGTGGCAACCTAAACGTGCCCAAATAAGGGAACCCCGTAAGCTTTTCAGGCATGGAGTCTCTGACAATAAGAACCCTAGACGACGTTCTCGGCAACGATAACTCATCACAAGCTTTTGACGCCATAGGAACAGCCCTACAAACATCGGCAATTGGTAATAAACAGTTGGCTAGCAGTGTGTTACTCGTCGCAGTGAAATAGCTTTCCCAGTAATGGGGTGGAGGGATTTTGTTAACGATGTCTAGATTGATCTCGAAAAGCTCTTCTTCTTCTTCAAAGTGGATTAGACTTTCGTTGTTGTCTTCGTTTTCTGCAATATTGTTATTAGCTAGAGCCATGATAGGTAGCTCTCACCTATGCAGGGTGTGCCTATGTGAACTTGTGTGTACATATTTTATATGCTGTGTTGGGGTGTGGGGCCACTGGGAAGGTGTATGGTAAGTAGAACGCTCTCCAACAAATCTACAACAGTCAGAGGGAAAATGTACGAGAGAGAAGTTTCATTTTATAGTTTTAGCTGCTCCTCCAAATCCCATCTAACGTATTGCTGACATTGACATATGCGTGCTCGTAGAGAGAGAGAGAGAGAGAGAGAGAGGGAGGGAGATTAGGAGTTTTATGACATGGTAAACACCACCTGAATCTTTGGAAATCACAGCGAACTACATAGTTTTTAAGGTTTTTTTTGGGGGAGGGGGAGGGGAGTGAGGGGAAGGGAGTTTGAACCCTTACTCTAGGCAAAACTTTCATAAGGTAAAACTATGCTTAAGTAGATAACGTTACATTAACCAAAACGAAGAATCAAAAAAAAAAAAAATCAAATGATATGAGAGTTGATGATATAGGTAAAAAATCTAGAATTTAAGAGTAATGCAAGATGAATTTAAAAACTAGACTTAAAAATTAGATTTGATAATCGCAATCATTGAATAGGTAGTGAGTTCCAATAAATGCTAGGACTCACAATGAAATCAATGGTTAAGATTATCAAGTCTAGTTTTTAAGTCTATTTTTTAAGTTTATGTAGCATTGCTCAAAATTTAAATAAATAAAAGTGAGACTGAAAGCATCATTAATACGATAGCACGTCATTTGATCCCTTTTTTTATTTTTATTTTTGGTAAGTGTAACATTAATTAGTTAATAATCTTTTATCTACTATGTTTGAATCTTGAATACAATACATAGTTCCAAGTTGTATTTTGTATATCTACAAAAGGAATAAGCATCCCTTTTGCACCAGAATGGTTGCTGAAGTGACTATGACCAAAGCCACTTACTTTTGAGACTTTCTATGTTTGGGTTAGATATGAAAAATGTCTTCCTTCATTTGGTTCTGTTGAGGTGGTTAGCTCTACTTTTGCTGACTTTATATGTTGCTGGTTTAGTTGAATACATATCACCAGTTCCTCTTTTAAACTAGATTCTCACAATTTACCAGATTATAATTAGATTTCTACTTCTGTATTGATAAGTTTATGTAAAAAGAAAATTGCTGAGTGTTTATTGTGGGGCTCTTCGATGACGTATCAAAAGTTACTATATTTTAAGATGTAAGTTACACTTTTTAAAAATCAAGTTACAACTAAAAATCTATAATTGATTATGAAATATTATAACGGATCATAAATACCCTAATTAGTTATAATTTCATTTTAAAAAAATGTAATTTGACATTCAAAAGGTATAGAGGTCGTGTCGTATAAAAAATCGGATAAACATTGGCAACTCCCCTGGTACACGGGGAGCTAGAAAGGCATATGTTCTAATCCCTAAGAATACCCAAACAAAGGCCATCTCTAAATTAAACAGCCTTTGTATTTGATTTTTAGAAATTATAACTTCCATATTCGATCATGATATTTTAAAATCTAATGAGCCCAAATCTTTCTAGGCCAGACCCCATTAGTCAAGTAAGCCCAATTAGCTTCGAGGTAGATTAAGCTCAATTCATGGATTCAGGTCGATTTGAAGTTCAAGGAATTCAGGAAGATTAGCATATGTGAGGAGCAATTATCGGGATAGTTACTCTTCAAGATCAACACTATTTTTAATTTTACCTATCTTAGTTATAGCTATCCTCCTCGAAAAATTAGTAACTTATCCATCACGTCACCGCTTCAATCAAGCCTCTGTGCCTATAAATTGTATCCCTCTCCACATGCGAGGGGCATCCATTTACATTCAACACACAATTATCTCTTTCATAGCTACCTCATTACACCTAGAGCTTACTCATGCTCTCCCCTCATCTACTTTATTAATAAAGTTCTTTGGCCACCGTTGCTACTTTCATAGTGGAGTAGGTCACTCTAATTGAACCACTCTATATCTGTATGTTGCTTGTATTGATTTCACATTTATATTTGTTACATTTATTACCTATATTATACACTTGTCTGTTGATTGTGCATAAATCCACTTTTGTATGTCATTAATGCTATTGAGACATAATTTATGGATATAATTTAGGGACATAATAAGTTGTTACCAATAAAATGATAGTGAAATATATTTAATGATGAGTCTCATTGTAGCATTAAATGAATTCACCATAATTTCATTAGTGACAACTTATTATATCTTCAAATTATGTCCCAATAACATTACTCGTTGTATATTATCAAAATCGACCATATTTTTTTTAGTTATAACTTTTACCATAAAAAATTATAATTTGACTCCATCAAATTATAAATTTTGACGCAGAACTGACTTGGGTACCCATATTCTTCCTCTCAAAATCGAACATCCTAGTATCTAAGTAGATTTATGGGCCTATCCGTCGTTGACCAGTCAATGCGACAGCCTCAAGATACAGAGAACATGTAGGCCCACGGCAGGCTAGCCAAATGGACCCAATCCTTAAAATTTGAAGCTAGGCTCTACCCGCCAATTTAATGGGTTACCAACTACACTGTCCCCTGGTGGGCTGGGTTTCCCATTAGCTAGATGGATTGTTGGGGCATTAGACCACGGGCCTACTTGTAATAGGCCCACGGTAACACTTAAAATTTTAATTTGCACTTTTAAAAATTAAATTTTTTATATTATACTTTCAATGTTATAAAATAATTGCAATATGAACTTCAAATTAACTTCAGTTGCTTTTTTTTGTCAAATCTTCTTCATAGGAGACACATGAATTTTATAGAATTTAGAAAAGCTAACAGAAGTTAGAAGTTAGTGCGATGACCACATTAAAATTATTTTATGCCACAGAGAGGTGCAATGGAAAAAAAAATTAATATTCCAAGATAAAAATTAAAATTTTTAGAGGTAAAAAGTGTAATTCATCTTTTTTTTTCCGGGTGTTAACCAAATTAAAAAAAGGCCGAAATGTAAAACTAATCATGATTGCTATGTAACATAGATGTGTCTAGCTCTTCGGTACTTAGTTTATAACTATAGAAATACTGTTGATCAAAACGATGTGATTTTGTACTAAAATGATATCGTTTTGATTAAGAACACCTTTGCGGTTACCACGTATGATTCTCACCCACCATAGATATCTTATTCAAAAAAATGAGTTTATTTTATCCCCTATCTAATGATTTGAATAAAGAAAGTAGGCTCCTATGATAATTTATACAAATCATAAAAATAAAGACAAGGATATTTGCTACAATTACAAAAACAAAAAGAATTGAGGGTGCCAAACGTAATATTATTCCCGACCATGATGCCTAACCGTTCTCCGAAGTCAATTTTGAAAGAAAGACTTCACACCCAGAGAGAGAGAGAGAGAGAGAGAGAGAGAGAGAGAGAGAGAGGGACGCTTGTATATGCACTAGGACTGCCGGCTGATCTGAGAGTCATCGACGTTTCGAAGGCAATGGAAGAAGAAGTGGGTGGTGTGACGAAAACAGTGGCAGTGACGGCATGTACCGCCATGACTTTGTTCTACGTTGCAATTCTCTACGCTCCCACTTTGATTCTTCGTCTCCCACCACCCACCTCCTTCAAAAGCTTCATGGTCCGACGGTTCATATGTGCTGGCATATCCTCCATTGTCTCTCTCATCGTTTGCGCTCTCATCCTCCCCGTAACCTCTCAAAGCTAACCATCCGTTTCGTGTATTTATCTATTTGTGCATTTATAATATATGTGTTTTTGTGTATACTCATAGGGCTGTTGCATGAGATTTAGTCGAAAGGGCAATGGGTTATGACTTTGATTCGGCGATGGTAATTTTTTCTTCTTAAAGGTCATATCTTGGACGGGACAATTGTTGAACTCTTGAAACCCATGTGGATATTCAAAAATGGGGGCTTGTTCAAAATTTGAAGAACTTGATAAAGAATAGTAAAGCAAGTCCATGAATTTGGTTGTATAAGGCTATGCTTAGAACTTGAAATTTAGGAGGGGAAGGACCATAATTTTTGGGTTGTTTGGTTGGGTAAAATGAATAAAAGGGGATTTTTTTTTTTTAAAAGACGGTTAAGAAACATGGAGAAAGCTGTGAGGAAAGAAAATTGGAATTTCGGAAAAAATGAAGTTTTTTTCCCATTCTCTTTATTTTTCTTTCCTCTTCCTTTCCATTCCCTAAAGTAAGCCATAAGGCGCGTATAATTTGTGAATTTTATTTGCCACACTACAAAATGGAAAAGGAAACATTATATCCTTGTTTGGCATCTGGGAAACCAGCGGTTTTTTTGGGGTCGGGGGGCTGGGGGGGAATGGAAAACAGGAAATGGATGTTTGATCTGCATATCATTTTTTGTTTTCTTTACCCTAATTTCAGATCATCTGTAAGGAAAATATAATTTCCAATTTGTTAGGAATGACAGAAATAGAGGGGAATGCTTTCTTTTTGTTTCTTTGTTTTCCTTTAGTGAATGTGTGAAACAAACAGATTGAAGTGGGATTTGTAAGCCTTTTTTGATTTGAAGTAAGCGGAACAGCTACAGAACAGTCTTTGGGACTTGAGTTATAATGGTATTATATGTTTGTCCCATTCCCTTCTTCACCACTAGCAAAAGAAAAAAAAAAAAAAGGTAGAACAGTTACCATGCTTTGATTTTGGCATGTTTTGAGCTTTTCGCATCTGCTTATCCTGTTTCTTGTATGGTTTATTTGATTGCTACATCTCAAATGTTGCACTTATCATCTTCGGTTAGAAGAGATTTCCACTTGAATAGCTGATCTTATCTCAATTTTTTGTTTTAACTATTCTAGGTGAGGTGGGAGGCATCTTACTTATTTGGTGTTTATGGCATCCAACTGCACCATATTGTAAGTGTCTTACTTGCAATTAATTGTCGGAGTTTTGTCTGAAATGCAATTATTTAATGCTGCGTGTGAGCCAATCTTTTGCAAGTGGTTGTTATAAAAAATATTCTTGCACGGTTGGAGGTTGAAAATGATTTCTGATTGTGAAATTTTCTTGCTGAATGGAATTTTATGTATGAAACAGTGGCAAGCTGTGATCTTTCCACTTTCCTTGACGTCCCTAATGTATGCTGGGTCCATGGTCCTACAGTCTTTGTTACTGCTAGATTTGTGGAAGGAACATTGGAGTCAGGGTGGAAACATGTCACTGGACTGTAGAAGTGTTCCCCACACATTCATCAGCTGGGTGGTTTCAATAGCTACCAGTGTCTCAGCTTGGCGTAATTATTTTGTGGTCAGTATTTTTTTCTTGTTTGTTATGTCCTTTCAAGTGTGATTTTCATTTTTATGTTTTAGCTGACAAACTTTTCTGTATCTGTCTACCGTTTGCCCAGTGGAACCAGAGAATGGTTGCCTTTTCGAATTTTGTTCATCTGATTATAAAATTAATAGGAAGGTACAAGGTCAAGAAAGAAGAGAAATCCTTCGATCCAAAAAAATTAGAAAAGCTAAATTCATACAAATCAACTTGAATAAACACCTCCATCCTATCAAAAAAATAAACACCTCTGGCTCCGATACAATTCCAACCTTCGTCAGTAAAAGAAACAAAAGCTGTCTCCAGGAGGTTAAAAATTACTCCTAAAAGTTCTCATTGTGAATGCTCCATCTTAGACAGGAAATCAGCCTGCTTGTTAGAACTTGGCGTACAAAGGAATCCATCTAATCTTACCAAGTATAGTTGTGAAGATATTCAAGATCAGACAAACGAAAGGACTATAACGCCATGAACCCAAGAATATCTATTAACCCAACGAGGCAGTTCATGAAATCCATGCGGCAACCTCCCCCAAACCTTCCAGAAGTAATTAAACCTTAGCCTGAATAGTGAGCCCAAGACAAAGCGGTGTAGGAAAAAGAGGAATAGTACTCCCTGTAGTCTCTGTAAAAATACCTCCAACACTTATTTGGCCTGAATTCCACATAAAACAACCATAAAAATTACATATAGCAGCTCCTTTGGACTGGGCTTCCTCAAGACAGAAGCAATGTTACTTATAGGATAAAAGCAAACTGCTGTCTGGGACCCACTCATAATCACATTCAAAGGTATACCTTTTAAATGTTTTACTTATGAAAGTCCATAATGAAGATAAGAAGTGGACTTCTTCGCCAATTGTATCATAAGACCATCTAGCAATATCATAAAACCAAAAAAAGATATCTTACAAAGAGCAAATAGGCCAAGACCTACTCTTGTTTCGCCTAATTGGGGTGATGACGATGACGATGACGAGGGTGGACTGGGTATGGACCTACCCTTTGATATTATTTGCACAACGGTTGCTCTTAGTCACAAACCCACATTTTTATGCTCATAGCTGAAGCTTTAGCTATTGCGGCAGCTTTATTAAATGTGCAAGCATTTTGGATGTTGTGTAGCGTACACCATCACTATCGACAACTGTGACTATTCGACTTTTTTTTGCAAGTCCCATCTTATACTGGCCGACTTTTGGATTCTGGATTGAGGATGGTGCTTAGTCTGCATATGTGGCATATCATGCATGTCTGGTATTGGAATTGGGTGGTGACTAGGATTTACCTTGATTTAACATGTATTTTTCAATTATATTTGCTATAAATGTTTGGTGGTATGCTGATTGCGAGTTTATAATTTATGGATGTGCTTAGACATTCTAAAGTGTTACATTGATTCTCAAGTTATTTCCTTCATCAAGCTAGTTAACAATGCAAATGCTGAGAAGTTTTAATTCCAATCCTAGTGATATTTACAATTCTTGATGCAACTAGTGCGCCTATAACATGAGGGAAAGGAGTCCACATTTTGTAAGACACAGACATGGGCACACACTAAGAAATTCATTATACTTGTCATTTGAGCCTGAATAACAAATTGAATCAAGATTTTTTGCTTGCATATTTCTTGAAATTCATTATATGAATGAAAAAATTTGATTTCCTGTTTGTTCCCTATTTGTCTTGGTCAAATGTAGTTTTGTGATTGAGAGTTGGGACTTTTGTAGCACTTTTTTTGCTCCATTCCTTAATAATGACTCATTAAACAGGCACCACTTACAGAAGAGTTGGTTTTTAGAGCTTGTATGATACCGTTGCTTCTTTGTGGAGGGTTTAATACATATGCTGTTGTATTTCTTTGTCCCATTTTCTTCAGCATAGGTAAGTGTTATGAGATTCATTTTCAGATTTTGGATCTTCTTTGATCTAGATTTTTTCTTGAAATGCATTTATCATCAGCGCTGCCAATGAGCAGATTTGGGCCAAGTAGTATGCAGTTTGGACTCAGTTTTGCTAAACTAGAGGGCATTTAAGCTTGACTCAGGCTTGAATTGAGCCAATAATTCAGACTCGGCTCAGCAGTTTCTCATTGTGCTTGCGAGAGGGCTCAGCGCTGCGTTACTACGAGTGAAAGTGGTTGAGAAAAAAATGGTTCCAACTGAGCCTTCACTCCCGTCCTTGTTGCTCTAAATTTTTTATTTTGGGGGAACGACCCTATTAGGGTTAAGTGATGAGTAGACCCTGACACATATCGATGCTTAATCTAATTCTATGTCCAAGTCATCCCCTTTGGGTGGAAAAGATCAGTGAAAGCAAGCCTGACCTTAGATATTTTCCATGATGGTAACAAATGAAAAGAAAAAGGTAAAAGAAGTTTAAGTGTCAGTCATATGAGAGATGGAGCCATCGCTGGTGGGGGCAAACAATATCCGTGTTACGTTCGTGTTCTGTGTTTAACAGTTTGGCGCTGTGTATGTTTTGGTTTGCACTATGCACCCTCTCTCTTCCCTTTTTGTTGAAAGAGGTATAAACAATGAGCTAAGATCATGAGTAAATAAAACAAGTGGATAATCTACAAATATTTCACCATAGTTCTATTCTTGGATGTTCTAAGATATGTTATTTGACAGTCCTACATTTTTGTATGATTTGAATTTTTTTTGGTTAGCTGACTTGTCTCAACCAGTTTTAAACACAAGTTGTACATTGAGATACAACTTTTTTGAGTATTAAATCATTACGAACATGACAGTCTTTGAAGAATAGAAGTAGGATATAGGAATGGTCAAAGGAGGAACTGAAGGGGATGAGGAGATTATTTGTGATAATTATATATATATAGATATACACATAAAATGGGGCATGAGCACAACCACCTTCTGTTCACTCACCATAGGCGCTGAGTCAGGTTAGAACTTGACATAGTCATCAGTTTTTTAGTTTTAGAAAGGGGCATGATCTGGAGTTTCTTTTCCTAATTTAGTTGGTCAGACTGATTCTGATAAATGTTCTAAAGTTCTAAACTGTAGCAGTATAAATTACTGCTCAAATTTCAAGAAATAATGAGTGCAACATGATGTGTGACATTTTGCTGTAAACCTGGAGAAATTAGATTCCCTGTATCATCCTCCATCTTTAAAATTCTTAGAATGATGTTTGTGCATACATAAACTGTTTTTTTTCCCTTGCCCATGATTTTGAGGCCTAAAGCATTTCCAAATTTCTTATTTATTTTGTTATTTACTTCTGTAAAAAAATGGGTATGAAGATACAGATTATGAAGGACTTGTTTTGAGTGTATCAGCTTCTTTTGCAAGAATTATACAACATTCTTAGTGATATCATTTATGTCCTAGCATACTAAGATGAGAAACTTTGTTGCAGCTCATTTAAACCATTTACTGGAGTTCTATACCCAGCAAAATCGCAACCTGCTCAATGCTTTAATGGTTGTAGGTATGTGGTGTTCTTCTCTTTGCACGGGATGCATGTGATACTGAAATTTATAATTAGCTAGCAGAATAGGTTGGTCATGTATGTTCTTTATCCACTAAAATTCTTTGCACAATATAATTGTGATTTTGAACAATTTCCTCATTGCTTAGTGGATATTCTTTGTGTTTCTCAGGTTTCCAGCTTGGTTACACCGTCATCTTTGGATCGTATGCGTCGTTTCTCTTCATCCGAACAGGTGGGTGATGCTTGCATACATAATCATTTGTTGAATTTCCTTTTACCTTTTTTATTTTTGGTTCAATTAAGATTTTGAGGTAATTCATCTTTATCGAACATAATATACAGAGATGCCAAATCTCTCTTGCTGTCATAGAAGCTTATGGCCATTAATTGAAAAACATGCCTTGGTTCAAAGGCTTGCCTCAGGGCAAGGTAGCTCTACAATGCCCTGAGGCTCCATAAATTAGCAAGTGTCTTGTCAGGTGTAAGCTCCATGGATTGAAGCCTAGCCAAAGGTGCAAGTTTCAATCCTTTTTATGCCTTAACTCATGCTAAATGCTGGGTCCTACCATGTAACCCCATTGGATAATTTTTGAGGGTTCAGTTTTCTCAATAAATCATAGTTTATTATATTTAAGAATTTGTATTTTATTTTTTATCTTTATGCTATCAAGAAGGTGTTGATGCCCCTTAGTGCACTTAATGTAATCTTCAGCCGTATAAAGTCCTCACTGGATGCATGCTGGCAATAACTGGGATAGTGTATGGGATGGCTCAAGTGAATGACTAGTCAAATATATGTTTATTGCATGAATACTTCTTTACACAAACACATTCATTTTTGGTACAAATGTGAACTCGATTAAAACTCTGTTTCTCTATGTCTAAGACGAAACTTGATTCAATAATGTTATGAGAGAGTATTCCATCTTTTCTTTGCTAAACTTCATACTTCTATAATGTCTAGATAAACTGTTAGTATTGCTCATTTATACATTTGGAGAGGGCTACGCTGGGATGAACATACTTATTTCTGTGAGCTTATAGTGTTGTATTTCTAAGAAATGTGTGGTTGCATATAAGCTGATCAATTGATCTTTAAAGATCTTTGTTCACGTAGACAATAATAAGTTACTGTCTCATTATTGCTGCAGGATCAAGGTGGTATGCCAGTTCTTAGAAGGAAAAACTCTGTTTTTTTCTATATGATTCTTTTATGTTTTGGGTTATAAGAATTGTGTTTTTGTTTGGAGGACAAAGTTAAAATGCTTCTCTGCTTCTTGTAATTGCTTGGTTTTCAATCTTCATTCTACGTTTTAAAAAAAAAATAAAGTTACTGTTTCATTGGGTTTACGTAGATTGTGCATCATTTGGGGTTTGGTGGTCTGGTATCCATTCATAAATACTATTTTCATAGAAACCATGATCACTTTTTCTTCAATCAGGCAGCAGCTATCTATTTTTTTTTCAGAGATTTCTTGTGCTTTAATGATGCATCTAACATTTGTTAATTGCAGGGCATCTTATTGCTCCAGTAATTGCTCATATCTTTTGCAATTTTATGGGCTTGCCAGTGATGCTATCACGAAGGACAGGTAGTCCATTGTTTACTATTTAAAACAAAAATGTATACATGCCATCATATGTCTCTATTAGATGAATCTCTGCCATCAAAGGATATCTTTATTTTTCTGTAAGTTAAATATAATGCCTAATGTAATGCTTTTTATCTGAGTGACCAATTATTCCGACAACAATCAGGCATTGTTTAAATATGCTTTTTGAAATTGCTGAACGAGGTAATGGTATTAGACTTTGGGTTAGTATTTTTTGTCTTGCGGAAGATTAATTAATGGGGATATCCTGGCACTTGAACTCTAAAGATGGGTATGGAAATATTAAAGGTCAATTTTCAAATCGAAGCTTGCTTGCTTTCTAAGTGAAAGCTACCTTTCAAAAGTTTAAGCCAACCTATAGCTTGCATACTACTGTCCCTAGATTTTGTGAGACTGCTGCAACGCACTTCTTGTTATCTTGTATATGTAGAGGTCAATCATGGCAGTATATATGCCTAACCAAATCAAGCCTTCTTCGCTGGTCCATTTCGTAAGTCATATTGCACTAATCTGTTCTATGATACGGTATGTGTTCTGTTAAATTTTGTACCTCTGTAGTCGCAATTGGTAATGGAAAAACATGCTATGAATACATGTAAGAGCCAAGAAATGATCATGATTTGTTTGTTGATGAAAGCATGTAGGTAGAGGAAATTTTGGAATGTAATAGAAGGTTGTAGCTATAGTGGCTGTTGTACTGTTACACGATTACTTTGGAAGTTTAAAAGAAACGACAGAATCCAGTGGGAAAGGACTTTGATATAACTATAGGAGATGCACAAATATGATAAATCCATGGAAATGTTGAAGTTCTTTGTTCTCTTATTCTTTATAGGTACTTAATTCTATATCCCGTTCCTCCCATTCTATTCTCAGTCCAACATTTTTCTAGGCTTGACTAGATTTGTTTGGCATTCTTAGTCGACGTCTATCTGACAACATAATGTATTATGCTGATAATTCAACTCCGTAGGAAATTGGGTCAATGGTTCTGGCATTTGAATTACTCATAATGAGCCAGACCAAGAATAAAGCTTAGGTGTATCTTGAACACATCTTGTGTTGGGCCCAAATTTTCATCTCTGCTTTGCTGCCTACTCTCTGAATTTGTTGACTGTCTCCCATCTGATGCTTGGAATTTTCATTTCCATCCTACAGAACTTAATTTCTTATATTTGTATGATTATATATTCTCACGGCAAATTTCGTTTTGATTGTTCTCTTAGGAATGGTCGGTGTGGCATTTATAGCAGGGATGGTCGGTTTCTTGTGGCTTCTTTTTCCACTCACGAGTCCAGATTTGTATAATGGTAGAACAGAGAATTGCAAGTGTTGGCATAGATATTGTACCTGGAGCTAAACCTCTAAATTTGGTTTGGACAAGAATTCACTGGCATTAGCAGAAAATGAGAAGCTGCTGTAACCCGCTTCTTTGTAGTTGCTTGAACTGATGACTCTGAATCTGAATTCTTGAAGCAAGGCACCTGACGTCAAGAAGCGATAACAGTACTGCAACCAGTTGGTCTGCTGAGGTTTCTATCCTGCTTTTGAGGATCCACTGCTCAAATGTGTCCTGACATTGTAAAACAATGACACTTATCTTTGAAACTACAATGGTATGATTCCAGATTTGGGTCATGTGAATTATTTGATCTTTTTTCATTTTAGCTGTGCAGGGCATTGGTAACCTCAAGCTTCATTAACACGAACCTAACTAAAAACAACCGACATACACACACATGCGCGAACATACACATCGAGCTCTAGTTTTTGTTTTCATTACTTGAAAAAGTTAGGAGGACATGGACTGGATACAGATCTAATCATTGACATTATTGGACATTATTGACAAAACGTGATTGTAATCACTTTTAAAACAATCAAAAAACATTTGTTGCATCTTATCTTCTTCATATTCTATGATATAAAATTGATGCATAGTATACATTTTATTCTCTCTTTTTCGGTAGTTGGAGAGGCATTAAGGCAACCCTTTAAGGAACAAGATATGCTTAGTTGATTCGATAGTCATTTTCTGATTCAAGTGACAATAAGAACGAATTGTAAATTTAAACGTTTTTAGTTCGAATATTAACAATTCTTTAAAATCAAGTCAATGACGGATTTATTCCTCATGAATATCCTAGTCCCGACGAGAATGATATGTCTTTGACTGGACTAGAGAGGAGATTAGTTGAGGTGAGCACAAACTAACTCGAATATCTCTAACTGCTGAGCCAATTTTTATTTTTTTTTCCAAATTCCAATGAAGTGTTGGGAAAATGGATAATGATCTAGTTCTAGCCTTCTAGGCCTTGTATCACTCAGATAAATTCAAGCATATGAATTACATTATGTCCTAGCTATTTACTAGGTGTGAGAATGAGATTTGAAGGGAGGGGTTGAGGTTGAATGATGTTCAAGATCTACATAAGGTTATCGTATCAAAATTTATCCATAGTCGGTGATTTTGGCTTGGATGGTTTGCTATCTCCAATTAAAAAAATAATAAAATAAATTTTTTTTACACAAGTTCAGAAGAATAAAAATGCCGTACTAAAAAATAATTTTTTTATACTTTAATCCGACTTGTAGATATTTATTCTGATGACCACGGATCTGGTTATGATACTCTATCAGGCAAAAGGTGAAGAGTTGAAATGATGAACAAATTGGCCATCTTCTTTGTAAGATAGAGGGGGGTTACAGAAGTTTGCCTTTTGTTTCCTCACCTTCTGTCTGGGTCTTCACTGGACATTACAGTCATCATGCCTTTTGACCCCCTTTTAGCTTCTGTTTTGACTTCCTTCACCTTGGATTTGGTGGTGCCTCAGAGTTTAGAAGTGAGAGATAAGTCTACGGTACTAATAAAAATTTTAGCTAACATTTTGAAAAACAATTTATGATTGATTGATATATTTGTAATCATTAATAATAAAAATAATAAAATAAGTTAATATATAAAAGGAGTTAACTACGGTACAAAAAAAAAATTTTGATATCAGATCTCTATTGATGGGACATTTCCGAAATACTACAAGATGAAGACACGTGTCCTCGGTGTCACTAAAACCTTGTTACTGAGATCACTTACCTATCGGTTCACAAGTCCCTCTCCCCCAAGGTACTTGTCATAGGGATCAAGTGGCATCCAGTACGTTTACGTACCGACACGTATCCCTCAGTTTGATATGGGTACATCGGTCGCTATATGTACCTCCCCTCGGGTCCGAGATGTACCTCCGTCCAGGGTGGCGTTCTCTGCTCCTGCAGAGGCTATTGATGTACAGGTCACTAGCTTAGGCTAGACTAGGTTAGCTATCATGACCTCGTCTTACACAATTGGTGTTAGAAGGCACAGGAGGGCAGGGGACACAGCTAATGGGGAATGGACGCGTGGCATATTGTGTCACATCAGAGACAGAAAGACCGGATGCCCTTGCTGACACACGACTTGGGAAAGCAAGCATTTAATTACATCATTCCCTTGATGAGACTGCATTCAATGCGGTAAGGCTCGGAAGTGAAAGGCAATAAATGTCTCTAAGGCTGGACATTTATTGCATCCTCCCCGAGAGGAGCTCATTGAACAGTCGGCAGCCCGATGACACAGCATTGATTGCTCGGGATCCCGAGCAGTTAAAAGAGAAGACATTTCTCATCGGAATCAGTGCGCACATTGCCTGTACCTAATGATCACCTATTGAATACACTAACAACAATCATGAGTTTTTGAGGTATAAATACTCCTCGCAAAAGGCAAGACGGTATGCAACAACAAACCTTTGCTACAAACCATACTCAGTGTTTTCTTCTTCCTCTCTCTCTCAAAAACTGACTTGATCGTCGGAGGGGATACGCCGAAAAATACTCCGGCACCCTTCTAACTTGTCTTTCTTTGTTCCAGGAACCTTTCTCAGCCTTACTGGATCATTCTTTGATCCACGAGGGTCTCCCATTACCGTTCCAGGTTACCACCGGACCTCACAGGCTGGTCCAAGCAGCAGGGTTGACCACTCGAGTTCACCAAGGGAGAGATCTGTTCTCGTGTTTATATTGTACAAGATCCAGCACGCATAATCTGGCGCCGTATGTGGGAAACAACTAGTTTTCCTAGTTTCTTCTCTATAAAGAACAGTGACCATGGTGAATACTCGACAAAAAGGGAAAGGTCCCCAGCAAAGAAGTCTCGAATTACAAGCTTCATGTCACCATGGAGGGAGGGATCACACTGATGAGAATAAAAATGCCTATAGTCAGTCAAGAGGGGTTACCCCTCAAACCAGTATGGGCATCAGGTTAGGAGGATCAGCCCCCTTGGCTCGTCAGCTGGCGGAGGTGATCGAAGAAAAGTTTGGCGATAGATTACGACGACTGAAAAAGGACAATGTAAACGTCCTAAGCCAGCTCAACGAATTCGCCGCCTCCGGCGAAGGGTCGAGGGACTCATTCCTTTCTCGTCAGCTCCCTGCCCGGGAGGTGGAAACGAAGGATCTAAGGAATCATCTAAACAACAAGGCAGAAAGCTCCAGGGCCCCAAAGCAACCGAGAGCCAACGAGCACCCTCTTAACGACCATTCCAAGAAGGCAAGGCCTTTAGCCCTGGATGACCTCCGGCGAGGATTGTTGAAATGGAGGAAGGAAGATGAGTTCGAGGAGGATTCAACCCTATCCACACGACGCCCAGGAAATGGGGGGCCTATTGATGAACTCAAGGACTTCAGAAGACATCCCGTCAGGGAGAAAATTGATCTCAGAGCCCGGTTGGAATCCAGGAGAAAGAGTAAGGTTGTCCAGGATGAGGTCGAAGACGAGGTCATACAAACACCCTTTACCAGGGAGATCGGAGAGATAGAGGTTCCAAGAAAGTTCGTCGTACCGAGGTTCAAAACTTATGACGGGCGATTCGATCCCAAAGCCCATCTCAGGCAATACAAGCAGATGATGTCCCTCTATCATTTGGACCAACGATTCCTCTGCCGAGTGTTTTCTATGAGCTTGGGGGACTCTACGATGAAGTGGTTCGAGGCGCTTTCCCGCAACAGCATTGGATCGTGGAAGGAATTGACGAGGCAGTTCCTGGCTCGATTCATTACGGGGAGTAAGCGGCCTAAAGACGTTGAATCATTGCTAACGCTCAGACGGAGGGAATCCGAGACCCTTCGCTAGTATGTCATTCGGTACTAGAAAGAGGTTAATGAGGTAGAAGGCTGCTCGAAAGTCATGGCAGTGGCGTCTTTCAGGCTTGGTTTGGCAAGGGACACGGACCTGTACCGATCCCTGACTAAGAAGACTCCCTCGGATATGGGCGAGCTGATGGCCCGGATAAACAAATACTCAAGGATCGAGGATGAGATAGGAAGCAGCAATGGCCGAACCCTCCAATTTAAGAGAAAAGAGAGGGAGCGGGAGGATACTCCCCGAAAGGGACTGCTACCCCCTCCAGGGGGGTCGTCCAAAGGAGTTCACACTATGTTCAAGGAACCCATCTTCAAGTTGTTCCATAAGATCAAGCATGAGCCGTTCTTCAAGTGGCCGCCCAGGATGCAGAGCAATCCCTCCACCCGTGATCAAAAGGTTAGGTGTTCCTATTACCGGGATTTCAGACATCGCACCGAAAGCTGCAGGGTATACAAATCGTTCTTGGAAAGGTTGGTCCGAGACGGATACTTGAAAGAATACATAGAGCCCACGCCGGAAGAGAGACACACCCCTGCCCCGACCGAGGAGCCGGACAACGTCATAGATGTCATCCATGTATGTCCACTAGATCGCCCCACGTCCAAGGAACTCGAGTCCGATCTCAAGAGGGTAGCTTTTACAAGGAAGGTAGCCGAGGATGATGGGGGGCCACCCAGTAAGAGGGCCAGGACTGGAGAGCCCAGCATCACGTTCTCCGACGCGGACTTGACAAGCGTGGTGACTTCTTATAACGACGCCCTTGTCTTAACCCTGAAGATAGGTAAATTCGACGTCAAAAGGGTGTTGATAGACTCCGGAAGTTCCTCAGAAGTGATGTACTCTGAGACTTTAAAACGGATGGGTCTTGGCCTCAAGGACCTTACCAAGGTCAGCACACCCCTCATCGGATTCAACAACTCGTTCGTCCTGTCCATAGGCAAAATCACATTACCAGTTGCCACAGGTCCCTTCGTCATCAACACCGAGTTTGTCGTGATTGATACGGACTCCCCCTACAACGTGATCATGGGACGAACATGGCTGCATGCATTGGGAGCGGTGCACTCCACTTATCACCAGAAACTGAAATTCGCCACGCCAGAGGGGATCATGGAGATCCGAGGGGACCAAGCTTCCGCAAAAAAATATTTTTATTCAGCTGTTAGAGCTGGGGCCTTCACCCAAGAAAAGGGGTGAGCTCCGGAAGAGATCATGGAAAAATAGTACTCACAGTCCGGGCGTCCAGGAATGGATGACCCCCGGATTGACCAGACGGATTGGTCGGTGGAAGACCTCCGGAAGGTGCCCTTGGTGGAGGGAGAAGAAGAAAGACACTTCTTAGTTGGAACCGCAATGCCCACAACCGAATAGGAGGAGATGATAGAGTTCCTGAGGAGAAATACAGACGTGTTCGCTTGGAACGCAATGGAAATGACGGGAGTAGACCCCGAGATAATCACGCACAAGCTGCATGTTGACCCGGTGCACAAGCTAGTAAAACAGAAGCCACAAC